GCCCCATTAGCACAGACCCAGTCATATGGGAGGCATTGCCAGAAGTGATGCAAACATCTCCTGGTCCATATTTCCTTTAGTCATCCCATTCACATGACATTCAAACCAGTTTCAGGAGGAAATTCTTTAGAGGCTCAACAGGCCCCAAGCTTGTATTGAAGGAGAAAGCATCACTCGGCTTCGAGAGCTGCAGCATGTTCCCTTCCCATCATGCTGTTTGAGACAGTGAGAGCCTTTCCTCACCATTGCCTGGCTGACCTGTTGCAGGGTGTCCTCTGCTGCTTCAAGCAGTCACCTTAAATGTCTTCTATGGGTGACTGTTCAATGAGGGAAGACTCCATCCGTTGGATGCTGTGGGCAGAAAGGCAGATTCCCTGTAAACTGCATCCCGTCATCAGCATCAACAGCATTAGCAGAGAGGTAAGCGAGTCAATCCCAGAGAGCTCTTTCATCCCTGCCTTCAATGATCATAGCGATGGGGTGATTTGGGGAGGCAGCTTTGCCTTTTCTCTAGCCCCACACGGAGGAATCGATTACACCACAAAAACCAAGCTTCTCTCTCAACACCTGAAATAGCCCCACAAGCCAACAAACACAGGAGTTGAATTTCCATTGGATCAGGCCACAGAACTGTATCAACCCATCCGCATCTCGTTAGGATTACACCACGTTCCCTTAAATATCCCAGACATGCATCTTATTCTAAGTTGCTGTTTCGATCTGAAGCCACAGGCTATTTCCAAAGCGGAAAGGCTTGATGGGGACTGAACTTCCTGGGGAAGGGTTTCAAATACACAAGGTTTCAGCTTCTCTCCCTCCCATCACAAGGGGAGGAGGGAAACCATCTCCCAGTAGGCGGTGAACTCCCACCCTGACAAACTCTTTAGCAAAGAGCCACTTCTGGGCTTCGTGCCAAAAAGACTTCATCGCAGCTGTTACTGCCACTGAACAGCTCAGCCCACACTGCTTATCTTTGTGAGCCAGCGTGCGGGATCCAGCAGTGGGGAGAGGCAGAACAAGCCTCGCATACAACCAAGGCAGATCATCACCAGCTCTGAGAGAGGCAGAGGCCTCATTCAAGCAAGGCCCAGCACGCAGGAAATTTCCAACTCCGTTCTGCAGAAATAAAGGTTAATGTGAACTGAAGGAAGGCCAGCCCCTCGGCGCGTCATTCTGGTGTCACTCTGCAGCGGTTCAAAGGGACCAAGATCATTTTCAGATATGCCGAGAGAATGAAAACATGCATGCGAGTAAAAAGGAGAGATAATAATAGTGAGACGGTCATGGATCCTGCCACAAACATGTAGGAAGTCAGGCCTTAAGCCAGTTATGCACAGGACACCCACAAGCACGAGGCAGACTGGAGACACCACCTCATCCCCACCCGACTGCAGTCCTGACTCATGATGCCCTGAAGACCACAAAAGTCTACAAAATACCCACCCCTGCACTGAACCTGTGTTTTATTACAGGAGTGACTCAGATAAATTAATCAGTAAGTAAGCACTTTTTAAGGTGAGAATCAATGTGCATTATTGTAGATACCCATGTTAGTATTTACCTTTCTAGCAAACACCCCCTTAAATGACTCGGTTGCATAAAACTAATGTGCCACCAGAGTGGAGAGTGGTAAGCCATTTTGTGGTGGAATAAGGTTAATTGTAGAAATCTTTCAATAAACAGCAACCTTCAAGGGCCTAACACTCCTGCCTCCGAGGGCTAGGAAGCAGGTTACATTTTGGTTTGCTGGGGCTGGTGTTTCATAAGACTCACTTGGCACATTATATAACTTCCTGGTCTGAATACTGCTCCTTTTCAGCTGCTGCTCTGATCATGCTGTTAATTGATTTTGTGGTTAATTGCATCCTTGATTTGAGGAGTGCATTGATCCATTTTTTTAAAAGTGTAAGTTATTAGGCTTTTAATTGACTTTTAATTTGCTTGCTAATCAATTTGCAATAATAACAATAATAAACAAAACATGTAGAGCTGGTTTTTCCTTCCTAATTGCAACAAAGGTCACCAGCTAACTCCAGGTCAAAGTAAACTTCAATCACATCTGTGGGCCACTTACCTCAGCTCAAAATTCATGCCTAAGCTCAGTACAACTCCACTGCCCCGCTGCTGTGCCATGGTGCCTGGGGCAGGCTCCTTTAAATGAAAGAGAAAACTGAAAGTCTTGACTCTATAAAACATTGTTGGACCAGCCCCTCTCTGAGCTTAATACCCCCCTGCTTCGGAGTTTATCTGGGGCAAAACTAAATGAAAGATGGTAAGTGCCAGCCCCACAGATCCACCTGCCACAAATGCAGCACTTCCTTCAATACAGACTCAAAATTCGTCGTCTGAGAACAAGTTCCTGTTACATTGGGGAAAGGCAGGTTTGTCTGGGAGGCCAAAGACTGATGAGGAGGTTGTAAAGCTTTGTGTGCCTTTTTTCAGACTTCTGCCCTTTGCCAGTGGTGGCAGTGATGTCATGATACCACTGCTGCATCATTCCTGGGAGGGGAAAGACATCCAGGACCTTATAAAGTTTCAAAGATCAGTCTTTTTTGCTCCTTGTCAAATACTCCACGCTTCTCCCAAATGACTTCTCAGGCAGAGGGATGAAGCTCTCCTCAGCAGCATGTTGCCTCTCTTGGGTTAAGGTTAATCAGCTTCCCTCCAGCACAATTTCCAAAGTGCTCCCTATATCCCTCCACTGTTCCAAGCACATTCTGCATAAAGGACCTCTGCTGCCTCCCTGTATTACTGATAGCACACCTCTTCACCATGGAGGGAGCTAGATCTCATAAAAGATGAGGCTTTGAGCTACTACTCCGCTGCACGTGTTCTTTTGGTTCTCTTTTCCCCTTTGTGGAAGGGCATCCATCTCCAGATCAGTCCTTTTTTATCTCCTACTGCAAGGTAGGAGTCCAAGAATTCAAGCAGAAAGTTGAAACAGTGGAAGTAGAAAGTCTGCTAGGATGGGACAAGGGGTGTGGCCAAGTCTCTGAGCTTTATGAGCATGTCAGCTGTCTTCATCATTTCTCAGGAAGTACTTAAATGTCTCAGACGCAGAACGAAATGGGAAGTCAGGGTCCAGAAAAGATTTACCATGAATTGAAAGAGGTGAATTTCTCCATGTCTTTTCAAGTACAATACAAATTTACTCCAACGTATGGCTTGGTACATTAAGTTAATAACAACACTCATAAAATACAATCCCTCCCCCTTCCAAAAAAACCCAAACAAACAAGATCAGAAATCTGGGTGGATAAGAAAAGCATCAGGGGACAGTACACTTAGCAGATTCAGTAAGAGGGAAAGGACTAGAAAGCAACGTCCCAAGAGAGACAGGTCTGAGAGCTAATTGTAAAATAAATCTGAATTTGCAATGCAAATAAGGCAACAAGGTAGCTCATGTAACATCCCAAGTAGGTGATAGCCCTCCCTTGGGACAGACAACTGCATCAAGAGTAGCCATTCAAGTCTGTGTCAACACACCAGGAAGATGCAGATACATTTTAATGTTGAAAAGAGCGGTGTTCAGAGCAGCAGGCATTGCCTTTTAATCTTCATAAGAGTGAACTGACAGTGATTTAGTCAAACAATGACTTGGGGGAATAATTCATCTGTCTCAATGGCATTAAGACACCCAAGAGGAGAAGAAGGAATTTCTAGAGTTTGGCTGTAGGTTGAACAAGGTGTAATACAAAGAAAGGAAAATGTCAGGTGAGCATCAAAGATTAAACTGACTGTGGGATAACATCATGGCTAATGGAAGAGCCCATGTTTTGAATCCAAACAGGAGAATGGAAAGGTAGAAGCAAGAGAACAAACCTTTGTGTCCTCACTCTAAAAATCAGTAAATAAGTAAATATAACCATCCCTTACCAGTCCAGAGTTTTGTTAGGCAAGGCGCTTCTGGTGTCTAAACACCTTCAAAACCTTGACTTTAAGATGCAGTTTAGGTGCTTTGGTAAATACCTCTAGGCTTTGACTCTCAGTCCTTACCAACATGCAGGATAAAAGACTCTGGTCTCATTTTACAAGACATATAGCCAATTGTTAATACTAGGCGCCAACAGAAGAATAGATTCTCCAGTGAGGCCTACCGTATCATAAATTTCCCTTGGTTAAGCAGACTATCTTCATGACCATGCTGAGCAACAGGAAAAAGATGGCAAGCATTTTATTTTATTTAAAGATCCAGAAAGAAGAGTATGATTGGCTTATTGCCTTGGACCAGGTGGCTATTCATAGCTCAACATTTTCTTAGTCACAGAAGAGCCAAGACAATTCCTTCCTTTTCAGGTATGCAGAGTTCACGAAAGACATGTGATTAATGCTGAAACCTCAAGGTTTCACTGGAAAAGAGGTAGCATCAGTGAGGGCTTCTCTCTTCTACCCACCAGTGTTACAGCTTCTTTCTGTACGCCAAAGCAACTTCTAGGGCTGAATAAACAGCTCACTCTCCACAGTTCGCTCAGATTAGGCTTATTTCCACTTGCCAGCAAGATGATGAATTGTAGTGGCTTGTATAATATGGACACGAACTGGATCATAAATCTTTATTGCTATGACAAACTATACACATATTGCTGAAATGTAAACAGAGAGGAAGAAAATCTGCAAGGAGGTAGCTCAATACATCAAGTGTCTGCCCAAGATGCAGGTTCATGATAAGAGATGTACATCAACCCCTGTCCACTGGAAACAGAACTGAGCCCGCAGTCAGATGACGACCAGCTCTTTTGCTACAGATGCAGGAAGTTTTCAAACCAGTGCCCTGAAGATGAAATACAAAAACAGCTTGTAAGAGCAATAAAAGTTAAGAAGTGAAGTTAAATCTATGATAAACTAACAGCCCAGGGACTACAGATATTTGTGGCTTTGTACCTAGTCACCTGAAACATGCCAATAGTACCTCTGTGGAAACAACAGGGGTGTGGTCTCTCTAGCACAAGCCTCTGCCAGAAATACATGTTCACTCTTATAATAAAGAGAAACAAGTCTGGTTGGCGTTTTCCAAGTTTATTGTACAAAAGCACATTTAAAAGGGTTTATGCATAATGTGTTATGCTAGTCTCTATACAAGTGAATGGAAGGATTTACTATCATCCTCAGCTATCTGACTTACCTGCTGCAAATATACTTTTTTACAAATAATTTATGAACACAGGGAATATTTGGCCATTGTGCTGGAAAAATTCATATACCATGCATTTCTAGTAAATTGTATTACAGGCTGCTAGGGGGTCACAGGGTGCTCCTACAGGCCTTTGAAACACAAGCCTGTGCTGGGGAGCGGTGTCAAGATATACCTTCTCAGCTGAAGCTCCAGAAGCAACAGAACTTGGGCAAGAACAACCCCTCCGGAGTCTGAGGCCACTAGACAGGAACAGTCATTCTGCTCCAGTGGAAGGATGCCATGGTGCCTATCCTCTAGGCAAGGCTCCTTGTTCCTTTCATTTCATCCCTAACTGCCCCTTCTTCCCACCTGATAATAAGCCTGGACTACTGATCTCACTAATTTAATAGAGAGAGAGCACTACTGAACTGATTCAGAACTGTATATCCTGAAAGACCATTTATCATGCCACAACAAGATCTGCTTCAGCTCCAGAGCACAGCACAGCAGCAGAAGAACCTGCGTCTTACTGACAGGACAGCTAGCTGGTTGGGGTTTTTTTTGCCTGTGCCACTGCACACATTCTTCACAGAGACGTACAGAAAGCAAGTAAGAAGGAGTGTTAACAATGACAAGGTAAAAATATAGAGCATCTTCTTCATTATATGCAGAGGCAACTCAGTGATTTTACACGGGTGTTGCATTACCATTGTTCTCAGGTAAGGAGCCTACCCTGAAACAGAAAGCCTCCAGGTTTGCAAAAGGGTTGTTTGGATTTTTTGTTTTTCTTTAAAACAGCCAAGGCACCAAAAACTTTGGAGTGGCAAGAGGCATCAATCATTCACTGCCTTCAATATGGCGGCAAAGGCATAAGCCAGCCCAGGAACAGCCCAGTGTTGCATTTTGAGAAGTGGCTCCTACCCAGATACAGCAGTGCTGTAGGAAAAAAATCTTTACCCAGCGCTGAAAGACCAATACACATTTTAGACATTCCAAAAAAACTCTGCTCTATTTCAGATCATCATTAAACCATAATAAGCATCTATAATGCCTTACTAAGTATTTACATAGTAAACACTGCCAGTTTTACCAAATCCTCACTTAGGCAAAACTCCCAGTGGCCTCTACAGGAGATCTTTCCTAGAGGAGGAACTCAGGACTGCAGAATTTGACCCAATAAAA